CAACCCAATTTGGCCGAAAAAAATTTACCACCTAAAATCATAAAACTTATACCCAATCCCACCGAAAGTACAAACAACCACGAACCCCTGTCCGATAATGTAATTGACAATATGCAATCCAATATCGATGACACAAACTAATCTCCTGGAATCTTAATCGGAGTATTTTAATACGCGGTTATTGACAGATGTTGGTGGGATAGGTCTCGCAAACCTCGAACTTTCCCGGTATTAATTCAATGTATCATTAGATACCAAGTTCCCTACCAATTTTTACAGCTTCATATTTCCTATTACCGGTAAAATATTAAAAAGTGTCTTTTCTTTTGTAATAATACTATGTGATGATATGTTTTTTAAATGTTTGTAATTTTAATTGAATGCTTTTCTAGTTTTTGTAATTGTAATTTTGAAATCACTGTTGTATTGTAAATGTATTTTATTGTGTCTTACATCGTTCCTTATCACGATGTACAAATGGATGTACAAAATTGTCTCCGTTATCGTTCGCTTAAGTGTCAAGGTGGATCCAATTGAACCTATCGACGTCTACTCGCACTGCGGCATCAACTTTATCGACGCCGACCGTCAGCTCCGTCAAATGGTATCCATCATTGGACGCAGGACGTTTTCACCAGTAACGCGTTATCCTTTACGTGGAACATTATTCTATCCAGTGCTTAGCATTTTGGCGGTTTTTAGGAAGCTGCATTAAGGTCTTTGATTTGTTTAAAGGTCTGGATCGTGCATTCACACATCTTGACAAACGAACATACGGCTCGCATCGGTGTTGTGCCCCATTAAGCCGGTACTCAATTCCCGACCATTAACTGCGGTGTCAACTAATCTGCACATATTCGGTTTTTTTATACCTGTTATACCTTCTATTTGTATTATGTCTAACCCATAAATATGTATACCCCTTCTTTGTTTTTGTTTTGCATTTCAAGTGTTATAATATAACATTTTTACATAAGATGTACACAACATGATCGTCATTTGTTTATGTTTTTTCATAAATATGTATCATTTTGTTTCGGATGCATTGGAAATCCGTCTGGTATCGTTGCTCGGTGATTTAAACCACGTCTTATATTGTACAATTTTACCATGCTTTAATTAGTGTATTATTTATTTAATCACCTAAATTCACCTACTAGTTTTTTTTCTTATTTTAAGCCTTACGGTAATATAAACATTTTTTGGCTTTTTCGTATTATTCACAACGCATTGCGAGCCACAAATTAAACTTGTTTCGGTATAAATTAATTCGTAACAGTCGGTTCGTATCGTAATAATTATTTCAGTAACATGGAAAAAGAAAAATATAAAGTTTCTCGTTTCAATGGAAAAAACCTGAATAACTGGAAATACCGAATGGAAATCTTACTCGATAAACACGATTTTGCAGTTGCATTCGATTACCAAGGATAAGAATTTCCGCAAATCACGGTACCGCGGAAGATGAATTTTCCTAAGTATTTCAATTATTAAAATAGAAAAAGCACCCAAGAGCAGTACATCTCCGTTAACAAAGTAAAATCCCCCCCATCTATTTTTTATTTCAGATATTTTCTTTTTATACTGTTAAATATCCAAACGCTACATAAAAATACAATACGATATTATAATACTACAGCTTACTACACATACCTTTTCCCATCAAAACGGCAAAATCTGAGTACACTTATTGTCAGAGTAGGGGGGGGGAGTGATTAAAATTCCTAACCTTCAAATGACAACAACTTGATATTAACTCCGAGTAAATACACATAATTCTACCCCGTTGACTTCGTTTTAGAGATCTGCATATATTGTTTTAATCCAAAAAATGATCATCCTCTCATAACGTCATTTGCAGATTGAAATTCAATTAGGCTTACGACTTTACCTTGCTTACAAAACAGCTCTAAATAATTCGAGTTCATAAAATGGTTCATAGTTGATTTTATGTAAATATATTGTGTATTATCACTTTGGTTTTGTGTGGTATTCTGTATAACTATATTTAACGGGTATTATGAACGATTTAAATGTGGATCTCCCTTTGTTGAAACTTATTTGCACTTAATTATAGTTGACGAATCATAATANCCTCTCATAACGTCATTTGCAGATTGAAATTCAATTAGGCTTACGACTTTACTTTGCTTACAAAACAGCTCTAAATAATTTGAGCTCATAAAATGGTCCATAGTTGATTATATGTAAATATATTGTATATTATCACTTTGGTTTTGTGTGGTATTCTGTATAACTATATTTATCGGGTATTATGAACGATTTAAATGTGGATCTCCTTTTGTTAAAACTTATTTGTATTTAATTATAGTAGACGATTCACAATAATGACAAATCATATTTATCACAGTATAATATCGTTAACTTGTTTTCGATTTATCAAGATCAATTAAAATTTTAGTTCTATATAAAATATAATTTATATAGAATTAATTCTATCACTTAGTTGTAATTTAATAAAATACAAAATATT